TGTTAGCCCCGCGTGTCTACCGTGCTCAGCACCACAGTGTTTAGTACCGCGTGTCTGCCGTGCTCAGACCACATTTTTTAGTACCGCGTGTCTGCCGTGCTCGCACCACAGTGTTTAGTACCGCTTTCTCCGTGCTCAGCACCACAGTGTTTAGTACCGCGTGTCTGCCGTGCTCAGTCCACAGGTTAGACGCGTGTCTTCCGTGCTCAGCACCAAAAGGTGTTTAGAAACGCGTGTCTGCCGTGCTCAGACCACAGTGTTTAGTCCCGGGCGTGTCGCCGTGCTCAGACCACAGTGTTTAGTACCGCGTTCTGCCGTGCCAGCACCACAGTGTTTAGTACCGCGTGTCTCCGTGCTCAGTACACAGTGTTTAGTACCGCGTGTCTGCCGTGCTCAGCACCAACAGTGTTTAGACCCGTTTTCTCCGTGCTCAGTACCACAGTGTTTAGTACCGCGTGTCTGCCGTGCTCAGCACCACAGTTTTTTAGCCCCGCGTGTCTCCCGTGCTCAGTACCACAGTGTTTAGTACCGCGTTTTCTGCCGTGCTCAGCACCACAGTGTTTAGACGCGTGTCTCCGTGCTCAGACCACAGTGTTTAGACTGCGTGTCTCCGTGCTCAGCACCACAGTGTTAGACTCCGTGTCTCCGTGCTCAGACCACAGTGTTTAGACTGCGTTTTTGCCGTGCTCAGACCACAGTGTTTGAACGCGTGTCTGCCGTGCTCAGTACCACAGTGTTTAGCACCGCGTGTCTGCCGTGCTCAGACCACAGTGTTTAGCACTGCGTTGTCTGCCGTGCTCAGCACCACAGTGTTTAGCACTGCGTGTCTACCGTGCTCAGACCACAGTGTTTAGTCCCGCGTGTCTGCCGTGCTCACACCACGTGTTTAGCACTGCGTGTCTGCCGTGCTCAGTACCACAGTGTTTAGACCGCGGTCTGCCGTGCTCAGCACCACAGTGTTTAGCACCGCGTGTTTTGCCGTGCTCAGACCACAGTTTTTTAGACTGCGTGTCTGCCGTGCTCAGCCCCAAACAGTGTTTAGCACGCGTGTCTCCGTGCTCAGTACCACAGTGTTTAGACCGCGTGTCTGCCGTGCTCAGCACCACAGTGTTTTAGCACTGCGTGTCTGCCGTGCTCAGACCACAGTGTTTAGCACTGCGTGTCTGCCGGGGCTCAGCACCACAGTGTTTAGCACTGCGTGTCTGCCCTGGTAGCTCAGGGCACCACAGTGTTTAGCACTGCGTGTCTCCGTGCTCAGCACCACAGTGTTTAGCACCGGTGTCTGCCGTGCTCAGCCCCACAGTGTTTAGCACTGCGTGTCTGCCGTGCTCAGCACCCAGTGTTTAGAAACTGCGTGTCTCCCGTGCTCAGCACCACAGTGTTTAGCACTGCGTGTCTGCCGTGCTAAAGCACCACAGTGTTTAGCACTGCGTGTCTGCCGTGCTCAGACCACAGTTTTAGCACTGCGTGTCTCCGTGCTCAGTACCACAGTGTTTAGCACTGCGTGTCTACCGTGCTCAGTACCACGTGTTTAGCACTGCGTGCCCTACCGTGCTCAGTACCACAGTGTTTAGCACTGCGTGTCTGCCGTGCTCAGTACCACAGTGTTTAGCACTGCGTGTCTGCCGTGCTCAGTACCACAGTGTTTAGCACTGCGTGTCTACCGTGCTCAGTACCACAGTGTTTAGCACTGCGTGTCTACCGTGCTCAGTACCACAGTGTTTAGCACTGCGTGTCTACCGTGCTCAGTACCACAGTGTTTAGCACTGCGTGTCTACCGTGCTCAGTACCACAGTGTTAAGTACTGCGTGTCTACCGTGCTCAGTACCACAGTGTTAAGTACTGCGTGTCTGCCGTGCTCAGTACCACAGTGTTTAGCACTGCGTGTCTACCGTGCTCAGTACCACAGTGTTTAGCACTGCGTGTCTACCGTGCTCAGTACCACAGTGTTAGGTACTGCGTGTCTGCCGTGCTCAGTACCACAGTGTTTAGTACCGCGTGTCTGCCGTGCTCAGTACCACAGTGTTTAGTACCGCGTGTCTGCCGTGCTCAGCACCACAGTGTTTAGTACCGCGTGTCTGCCGTGCTCAGCACCACAGTGTTTAGTACCGCGTGTCTGCCGTGCTCAGCACCACAGTGTTTAGTACCGCGTGCCTGCCGTGCTCAGTACCACAGTGTTTAGTACCGCGTGTCTGCCGTGCTCAGCACCACTGTGTTTAGTACCGCGTGTCTACCGTGCTCAGTACCAGTGTTTAGTACCGCGTGTCTGCCGTGCTCAGCACCACAGTGTTTAGTACCGCGTGTCTACCGTGCTCAGTACCACAGTGTTTAGTACCGCGTGTCTGCCGTGCTCAGTACCACAGTGTTTAGTACCGCGTGTCTACCGTGCTCAGTACCACAGTGTTTAGCACTGCGTGTCTGCCGTGCTCAGTACCACAGTGTTTAGTACCGCGTGTCTGCCGTGCTCAGTACCACAGTGTTTAGTACCGCGTGTCTACCGTGCTCAGTACCACAGTGTTTAGTACCGCGTGTCTGCCGTGCTCAGTACCACAGTGTTTAGTACCCCGTGTCTACCGTGCTCAGTACCACAGTGTTTAGTACCGCGTGTCTACCGTGCTCAGTACCACAGTGTTTAGTACCGCGTGTCTACCGTGCTCAGTACCACAGTGTTTAGTACCGCGTGTCTACCGTGCTCAGTACCACAGTGTTTAGTACCGCGTGTCTGCCGTGCTCAGTACCACAGTGTTTAGTACCGCGTGTCTACCGTGCTCAGTACCACAGTGTTTAGCACTGCGTGTCTGCCGTGCTCAGTACCACAGTGTTTAGTACCGCGTGTCTACCGTGCTCAGTACCACAGTGTTTAGTACCGCGTGTCTACCGTGCTCAGTACCACTGTTTAGTACCGCGTGTCTACCGTGCTCAGTACCACAGTGTTTAGTACCGCGTGTGTACCGTGCTCAGTACCACAGTGTTTAGTACCGCGTGTCTACCGTGCTCAGTACCACAGTGTTTAGTACCGCGTGTCTGCCGTGCTCAGCACCACAGTTTAGCACTGCGTGTCTGCCGTGCTCAGTACCACAGTGTTCAGCACTGCGTGTCTGCCGTGCTCAGCACCACAGTGTTTAGCACTGCGTGTCTGCCGTGCTCAGTACCACAGTGTTTAGCACTGCGTGTCTGCCGTGCTCAGTATCACAGTGTTAAGCACTGCGTGTCTGCCGTGCTCAGTACCACAGTGTTCAGCACTGCGTGTCTGCCGTGCTCAGTACCACAGTGTTCAGCACTGCGTGTCTGCCGTGCTCAGTACCACAGTGTTCAGCACTGCGTGTCTGCGGCTCAGTACCACAGTGTTCAGCACTGCGTCTGCGTGTCAGTACCACAGTGTTCAGCACTGCGTGTCTGCCGTGCTCAGTACCACAGTGTTAAGCACTGCGTGTCTGCCGTGCTCAGTACCACAGTGTTCAGCACTGCGTGTCTGCCGTGCTCAGTACCACAGTGTTAAGCACTGCGTGTCTGCCGTGCTCAGTACCACAGTGTTCAGCACTTCGTGTCTGCCGTGCTCAGTACCACAGTGTTCAGCACTGCGTGTCTGCCGTGCTCAGTACCACAGTGTTCAGCACTGCGTGTCTACCGTGCTCAGTACCACAGTGTTAAGCACTGCGTGTCTGCCGTGCTCAGTACCACAGTGTTTAGCACTGCGTGTCTGCCGTGCTCAGTACCACAGTGTTCAGCACTGCGTGTCTGCCGTGCTCAGTACCACAGTGTTCAGCACTGCGTGTCTGCCGTGCTCAGTACCACATTGTTCAGCACTGTGTGTCTGCCGTGCTCAGTACCACAGTGTTTAGCACTGTGTGTCTGCCGTGCTCAGTACCAAAGTGTTCAGCACTGCGTGTCTGCCGCGCTCAGTACCACAGTGTTCAGCACTGCGTGTCTGCCGTGCTCAGTACCACAGTGTTCAGCACTGTGTGTCTGCCGTGCTCAGTACCACAGTGTTCAGCACTGCGTGTCTGCCGTGCTCAGTACCACAGTGTTCAGCACTGCGTGTCTGCCGTGCTCAGTACCACAGTGTTCAGCACTGCGTGTCTGCCGTGCTCAGTACCACAGTGTTTAAGCACTGCGTGTCTGCCGTGCTCAGTACCACAGTGTTCAGCACTGCGTGTCTGCCGTGCTCAGTACCACAGTGTTAAGCACTGCGTGTCTGCCGTGCTCAGTACCGCAGTGTTTAGCACTGCGTGTCTGCCGTGCTCAGTACCACAGTGTTCAGCACTGCTTGTCTGCCGTGCTCAGTACCACAGTGTTAAGCACTGCGTGTCTGCCGTGATCAGTACCACAGTGTTTAGCACTGCGTGTCTGCCGTGCTCAGTACCACAGTGTTCAGCACTGCGTGTCTGCCGTGCTCAGCACCACAGTGTTCAGCACTGCGTGTCTGCCGTGCTCAGTACCACAGTGTTCATCACTGTGTGTCTGCCGTGCTCAGCACCACAGTGTTCAGCACTGCGTGTCTGCCGTGCTCAGTACCACAGTGTTCAGCACTGTGTGTCCGCCGTGCTCAGTACCACAGTGTTCAGCACTGCTTGTGCTGGTCCGACCTCCGCTCCTAGACAATGAATGCATTTCATATTATCCTTAGGAACACATCAGTCTTTTGAACAGGATGAAAGGCTCAGTCTTGGCAGACTAGATGTGATGAGTCTGCTCCTAACTAGCCTCGGGGGAAGACATGGGGTTCAACTCTTCCTGCTAGCTAGAACAGAGGGAAAACAAGAGGTCAACTCTTCCCACCAGGAACTCAGGGAAGACAGGGTAGACTTCAACTCTGCCAGGACCTTACGTACAGAAGAAATCATGCATGACTGGATAAGAATCTACCAAGCGCGAAACATCGCCCTCCTACACGCCTAAGAGGTTGAGTGGGGGGGGAACTATAATGCAGGTGAGGGCGATGGGTGAAGCTACTCGCCCAGTTAATAATGCAGGTGAGTGTGATGGGTGAAGGTACTCACCTTGTCAATAATGCAGGTGAGTGTGATGGGTGAGCCACGATTGACGTGGTACTGTCCCCTCCCTGCAATGTGCGCCTCCGGGGTCACCACCTCAAGGTTGACGAACAGAGAAATAATGCCAGTGCCGGTGGAAACCTGGCACTCGTACGTGCCGTTGTCCTTGACGTCCACGTACTTGATGTGCAGCGTCCAGTCTTGCGTACCAGCCACGTGCAACACGGAGAAGCGGCGGTCGTGTGTGTACAGCACGTCAGCGGATGTCAAAACGTGCCAGTCGCGCCGTCTAATCCAAGAGATCTGTACGGAGACAAGAGAGGTTAATCTTCAGCCACGGTGACGTTTCCCTCAGGAAACGTCTATAACAAAGACTTCCTCTATATTACGTGGTTTCATACCAAATCAGCTGACGATAAAAACTCAGCCGAACAGGCGTTGTGTTGGACAAACATTTCGCTCTTCTCTTTTTCTTTATCAAGTCTCGAAAAAACAGCATAGCTCTGAGTAAAGCGAAACATTGTCCCAAAAAACGCTTGATCTGCAAACTGTCATTTCTTCAATACGGTATTCGGAAAACTGCTGCCGAGTCACAACAAGTGATATCATAATATGCTAAATTACAACAGTGAAAAAAATAGCAAAATTGCAAGTGTTTTCGCGATTTTTCGAATTATCTTCTATAATATGAGAAATCAGGAAAGTGCTTGGAATTTCATTAATTTTATTCACTGTGGTTACTTTACATATATACAGTACGTACGTACATACATATGCACACACAAATATTTATATCTCGTGCCGAATAGGTAAAATTGGTCAATTAGCAAAAACTCATTTAAAATTAAGTCCATTTTAAAGTTTTCTCTTATATTTTAATGATATATTTTTCATTATGCTAATGTGTAAATTAATAATTTTGTACCAAAAGAACCTTAGAAAACTTACTTAACCTTATTATAGCAAGCGCAATGTGATTTAGCCTAATCGAACTATAGTTTAGAAAAGTTTACAATAATTTAATAATAAACAAACACAATGAAATATATTTTTTTTTTCGTTAGGTGCAGAATAATTTTTGAGAAATTACTACATACACAAATTTTTGCTTTCCTTATTCGACAAGAAGAGTGTTGCTATTTAAGCCAAAAATCACACGTTTTACCTATTCGACACGACAGGATATATATATATATATATAAAATATATATATATATATATATATATATAATATATATATATATATATATATATATATATATATATATATTCAACAAGTCGGCCGTCTCCCACCGAGGCAGGGTGACCCAAAAAGAAAGAAAATACTTTCATCATTCAACACTTTCACCTCACTCAAACATAACTGTTTTTGCAGAGGTGCCCAGAATACAACAGTTTAGAAGTATATACGTATAAAAATACACAATATATCCCTCCAAACTGCCAATATCTCAAACCCCTCCTTTAGAATGCAGGCATTGTACTTCCCATTTCCAAGACTCAAGTCCAGTTATATAAAATAACCGGTTTCCCTGAATTCCTTCACTAAATATTACCCTGCTCACACTCCAACAGCTCGTCAGCTCCCAAATACCATTTGTCTCCATTCACTCCTAACACTCTCACGCACGCTTGCTGGAAGTCCAAACCCCTCGCCCACAACACCTCCTTTACCCCCTCCCTCCAACCTTTTCGAGAACGACCCCTACACCGCCTTCCTTCCCTTACAGATTTATACGCTCTCCATGTCATTCTACTTTGATCCATTCTCTCTAAATGACCAAACCACCTCAACAAACCCTCTTCAGCCCTCTGACTAATACTTTTATTAACTCCACACCTTCTCCTAATTTCCACACTCCGAATTTTCTGCATAATATGTACACCACACATTGCCCTTAGACAGGACATCTCCACTGCCTCCAACCGCCTCCTCGTTGCAGCATTTCCAACCCAAGCTTCACATCCATATAAGAGTGTTGGTACTACTATACTTTCATACATTCCCTTCTTTGCCTCCACAGATAACATTTTTTGCCTCCACATATACCTCAATGCACCACTCACCTTTTTTCCTTCATTAATTCTATGAATAACCTCATCCTTTATAAATCCATCCGCTGACACGTCAACTCCCAAATATCTGAAAACATTCACTTCTTCCATACTCCTCCTCCCCAATTTGATATCCAGTTTTTCTTTATCTAAATCATTTGATACTCTCATCACCTTACTCTTTTCTATGTTCACTTTCAACTTTCTACCTTTACACACACTCCCAAATTCGTCCACTAACTTTCGCAATTTTTCTTTAGAATCTATCATAAGCACAGTATCATCAGCAAAAAGTAACTGTGTCACTTCCCATTTTGTATTTAATTCCCCATAATTTAATCCCACCCCTCTCCTGAACACCCTAGCATTTACTTCTTTTACAACCCCATCTATAAATATATTAAACAACCATGGTGACATTACACATCCCTGTCTAAGACCTACTTTTACCGGGAAGTAGTCTCCCTCTCTTCTACACACCCTAACCTGAGCCTCACTATCCTCATAAAAACTCTTTACAACATTTAGTAACTTACCACCTATTCCATATACTTGCAACATCTGCCACACTGCTTCTCTATTCACTCTATCATATGCCTTTTCTAAATCCATAAATGCAATAAAAACTTCCCTACCTTTATCTAAATACTGCTCACATATATGCTTCAATGTAAATACTTGATCTACACATCCCCTACCCACTCTAAAACCTCCTTGCTCATCCGCAATCCTACATTCTGTCTTACCTCTAATTCTTTCAATTATAACCCTACCGTACACTTTTCCTGTTATACTCAGTAAACTTATTCCTCTATAATTTTTACAATCTCTTTTGTCCCCTTTCCCTTTATATAAAGGGACTATACATGCTCTCCGCCAATCCCTAGGTACCTTTCCCTCTTTCATACATTTATTAAACAAAAATACCAACCATTCCAACACTATATCCACCCCTGCTTTTCACATTTCTGTCATGATCCCGTCAGTTCCAGCTGCTTTACCCAATTTCATTCTACGTAATGCCTCACGCACCTCCCCCCCCCCCACTCACATCCTGCTCTTCTTCACTCCTAAAAGATGGTATACCTCCCTGGCCAGTGCATGAAATTACCGCCTCCCTTTCTTCGTCGACATTTAAAAGTTCCTCAAAATATTCTCTCCATCTACGCAAAACCTCCATCTCCCCATCTACTAACTCCCTCTACTCTGTTTTTAACTGACAAATCCATTAGTTCCCTAGGCTTTCTTAACTTGTTTAACTCACTCCAAAATTTTTTCTTATTTTCATTAAAATTTCTTGACAGAACATCTCCCACTCTACCATCCGGTCTCCTTTTGCAGTCTCTCACCACTCTCTTCACCTTTCTTTTACTCTCCATATACTCTGCTCTTCTTATAACACTTCTGCTTTGTATATAACTCTCATAAGCTACCTTTTTCTCTTTTATCACACCCTTTATTTCATCATTCCACCAATCACTCCTCTTTCCTCCTGCACCCACCCTCCTATAACCACAAACTTCTGCACCACATTTTAATATTGCATTTTTAAAACTATTCCAACCCTCTTCAACCCCCCCCCCCCATCACTACTAATACCTGCACCAGCCCACCTTTCTGCCAATAGTTGCTTATATTTCACTAGAACTTCCTCCTCCCTTAGTTTATACACTTTCACCTCCCTCTTACTTGTTGTTGCCAGATTCCTCTTATCCCATCTACCTCTTACTCTAACTGCAGCTACAACTAGATAATGATCCGATATATCAGTTGCCCCTCTTTAAACATGTACATCCTGGAGCCTACCCATTAACCTTTTATCCACCAATACATAATCTAACAAACTACTTTCATTACGTGTTACATCATACCTTGTATATTTATTTGTCCTCTTTTTCATAAAATATGTATTACTTATTACCAAATCTCTTTCTACACATAGCTCAATTAAAGGTTCCCCATTTTCATTTACGCCTGGCACCCCAAATTTACCTACTACTCCCTCCACAACATTTTTGCCCACTTTAGCATTAAAATCCCCAACCACAAGTACTCTCACACTCGGTTCAAAACTCCCCACGCATTCACTCAACATTTCCAAAATCTCTCTCTCTCCTCTATACTTCTCTCTTCCCCAGGTGCATATACGCTTACTATAACCCACTTCTCACATCCAACCTTTATTTTACTCCACATAATCCTTGAATTAATACATTTATAGTCCCTCTTTTCCTGCCATAGCTTATCCTTCAACATTGCTGCTGCTCCTTCTTTAGCTCTATTAGAAACCCTTGACCTAATCCCATTTATTTTTCTCCACTGAAACTCACCCACCCCATTCAGCTTTGTTTCACTTAAAGCCAGGACATCCAGCTTCTTCTCAATCATAACATCCACAATCATCTCTTTCTTATCATTCGCACAACATCCACGCACATTCAGACTTCCCACTTTGACAATTTTCTTATTCTTTTTAGTAATTATTACAGGAAAAGGGGTTACTAGCCCATTGTTCCCGGCATTTTAGTTAACCTTTACAACACGCATGGCTTACGGAGGAAAGATTCTTAATCCACTTCCCCATGGATATAAAAGGAAAAGTAATTAGAACAAGAACTAAGATAAAATCAAAGAAAACTCAGATGAGTGTGTATAAATAAACGTGTAGTGTGACCTATGTGTAAATAGAAGTAGCAAGACATACCTGTAATCTTGCATATTTATGAGACAGACAAAAGACACCAGCAATCCTACCATCATGTAAAACAATTACAGGCTTTCGTTTTACACTCACTTGGCAGGACGGTAGTACCTCCCTGGGTGGTTGCTGGCTACCAACCTACTACCTATAATATATATATATATATATATATATATATATATATATATATATATATATATATATATATATATATATATATATATATATTCTTGGAGCTATTTTGCTTACAGGCTTATTTCAGTCTGATGGTCTTTTTTAATTTATAATTTATTAAACTAATAAGATTAGCTCAGATCTTTATGTTTTCGAGCCATCCACAACACTGGCCAAAAGAGACCATCCCAACACTGACCACAAGAGACCATCCACAACACTGACCACCAGAAATCATCAACACTGACCACCAGAAACCATCTACAACACTGATCTCAAGAGACCATCCACAACATTGACCACAAGAGATCATCCACAACACAAAAAAAAAGTCTGGACACGGTCATTCATTCTTACGTGATGGCTTAGCGCGTCTTCGGTGTTTTCGTGCAGAATATAGCGTGTTCTCGTGATTCAGGCGAAGTTATCCATTAGAAACGTAATGGAACAGTCATCTTCTGGCGTGATTCGTTTATGTTTTGGCCGTCTGCTCCATGAAATAACCTCACCCACTACACCAGCAGCACTTTATCTACCACAGGAAGACTCTCTCTCAGTCACTCAAAATACTACATCAACCTCTCGATGGAATTCATGAACCCACTAAACACAGACTGTCACCCAGCACACACATACTGTATCACACCCCGCAAATACACCCATTTACAGCACATAAACATTCTTACCAACCAAACAAGGTCACTGTATCACTCGCCACAAAGAATTGTATCAGCCACCCCACGAAATTCTCATCCACAACAAAAAATGTTGTATCATACACCACACAAAAGTACCGCCTCATCCAGCTCACAATAACACACTCACTCTCCACACAATGACACTATCATTCATTTCAAAAACACTTTCACATTACACAGTTATTGTATAAGTCACCACACACAAACACTTCCAAATCCACTAAACGAATCACCAACACATCACACCCACACTACCACTAACATCAAAAATACTACCCCCCCACCATTATCACCACTACCACCACCAGACAAAACCATCACCACCACTACTACCGCTAGAAAAACCATCACCACCACCAGCACCACCACCAGACAAAAGCATCACCACCACTACAACCACCACCAGACAAAACCATTACCACCACTACCACCACCAGACATAACCATCACCACCACTACTACCACCAGACAAAACCATCACCACCACTACCACCACCAGATAAAAGCATCACCACCACCCACCACCTCACCACCACCAGACAAAACCATCACCACCACCAGACAAAACTATCACCACCACTACCACCACCAGACAAAACCATCATCAACACTACCAACCTCATCAACGTCAAATTCAATCATCAATTTCAACACTAACACAGCAGTTAAAACAAAACCTGGCTTGACCAACCCCCTTCAATTAAAAAATCTCACTCTAACCTGGAGATTTTTACCCCATAAATATTGATATGCAAATTGCTACATCAACGCTGCCAGTATAATAATTTTTCCAGTTGAGATTAGTATATATTATATTTGATCGAATTATATAACGCTCTTGATCCAAGTCAAGAGAGATATTAAGATGAGGTTATTTATATGAAGTTAATTATTTATGCTTTTAAAAGCGAGAGAGAGAGAGAGAGAGAGAGAGAGAGAGAGAGAGAGAGAGAGAGAGAGAGAGAGAGAGAGAGAAACCTAAAAACACGAATAAAAAGGAAAATGATAAATACAGACTCTGTCTCTCTCTTCACAAAAACAATCAAGAACTGTGTGACTCTTTCTGACCACAAAGGACCCGTACTGACCACGAATGACCTGTTCACGAATGACGCATAATGACCACGAGTGACGCTTCACTCGTGTGAGGTCTGCTGACCCTGTGTCTTACCTGTCTGTCTCCCAGGTGACCCACTCTGCACGGCAGGAAGGCAGCTCCTCCCAGCTGCGCCGTCACGTTTAACACCGTGTTGTTGATGGCAGATGGTTCGTGAGCCGCTCCCTGGTACGTTAGTGCCCACCGTGATCCCGTGGCACCGAACCCGTGTCCTGCCTTCTGCGGCTCCTCCGTCACCCTGTTCCTGAGACGGTAGACGGCAACACTGTGTTTTAAAATGTTATTAACGTCACGGAGAAGCGCTAAATCCGCAGGGGGACATACAGCGCCTGGAGGAATGGGAGGAAACAAAACAAATTCTGGCCACAAAATAGAGCGAAACACCAACGTCAAAGACCTGGGAGTGATCATGTCGGAGGATCTCACCTTCAAGGACCATAACATTGTATCAATCGCATCTGCTAGAAAAATGACAGGATGGATAATGAGAACCTTCAAAACTAGGGAGGCCAAGCCCATGATGACACTCTTCAGGTCACTTGTTCTATCTAGGCTGGAATATTGCTGCACACTAACAGCACCTTTCAAGGCAGGTGAAATTGCCGACCTAGAAAATGTACAGAGAACTTTCACGGCGCGCATAACGGAGATAAAACACCTCAATTATTGGAGCGCTTGAGGTTCCTAAACCTGTATTCCCTGGAACGCAGGAGGGAGAGATACATGATTATATACACCTGGAAAATCCTAGAGGGACTAGTACCGAACTTGCACACGAAAATCACCCACTACGAAAGCAAAAGACTTGGCAGACGATGCACCATCCCCCCAATGAAAAGCAGGGGTGTCACTAGCACGTTAAGAGACCATACAATAAGTGTCAGGGGCCCGAGACTGTTCAACTGCCTCCCAGCACACATAAGGGGGATTACCAACAGACCCCTGGCAGTCTTCAAGCTGGCACTGGACAAGCACCTAAAGTCAGTTCCGGATCAGCCGGGCTGTGGCTCGTATGTTGGTTTGCGTGCAGCCAGCAGCAACAGCCTGGTTGATCAGGCTCTGATCCACCAGGAGGCCTGGTCTCAGACCGGGCCGCGGGGGCGTTGGCCCCCGGAACTCTCTCCAGGTAAACTCCAGGTAAACTGAGTCTGGGAACAGAAGGGCAGCTCAGGTTCAGTGGATCACAAGCACCAGCCCATTAGTGATGTTACCTAATAATATAATAGTAATAATAATTATAATTATTTAATTTATACGCGCTAAACACGTATAGTTAATTAAATGACGACTCGATTATCCGTCCGCTAGCTTAGGTTGCGTTACTAAGTGTGCTCAGGTTACGTTGGTTACGTTGTAAACAAATTGTAATTTAGTTAGTACAAAGTTTAGATTACATTGCGTAAACTAGTTTAAGCTGCATTGTTAATTAGCTTAAGTTAAATTGCTAAGTTATATGTTACACTCCTAAGATGACTAAGGTTACGTTGCTAAGTTCAGGTTACGTTGTTAGCTTGGATGGCGTTCCTTAGTTTAGGTTACTTTACTAAGTTACTTTAGATTACGGTGCTAAGTCAGTTTTGGATTAAAAATTATAAACTTGTCTAAGAAAAAAATACAGTATTTTAACAAACTTTTTCTCTGAAGATAAGATTAAGTGTATTACTATTAGGTGTATCTTTCAATGTAATACATCGGAGGTGTGTGTATATTTCAGTGTATACATCGAAGGTTGTGTATCTTTAATGTATTACGTCGAGAGTGTGTGTAACTTTCAATGTTATAAAATCGAGAGGTGTGTATCTTTCAATGTATATACATCGAGAGGATGTTGTATCTTTCAATGTATATACATCGAGAGGTGTGATCTTTCAATGTATATACATCGAGAGGTGTGTGTATCTTTCAGTGTATATACATCGAGAGGTGTGTGTATCTTTCAATGTATATACATCGAGAGGTATGTGTATCTTTCAATGTATATACATCGAGAGGTGTATCTTTCAGTGTATATACATCGAGAGGTGTGTGTATCTTTCAATGTATATACATCGAGAGGTATGTGTATCTTTCAATGTATATACATCGAGAGGTGTATCTTTCAGTGTATATACATCGAGAGGTGTGTGTAACTTTCAGTGTATATACATCGAGAAATATGTGTAGCTTTCGGTGTATATACATGGAGAGGTGTGTGTTCCTTTCAATGTATATACATCGGGAGGTGTGTGTATCTTTCAGTGTATATACACCGAGAGGTGTGTGTATCATTGTATATATACCGAGAGGTGTCTCTCAGTGTATATACATTAAGAGGTGTATATCTCTCAGGGTATATACACCAAAAAGTGTATATCTGTCAGTGTACATATGCTGACAGCTTGTTTTAAAGCCAATGTTAAGGTTTAAAATATTGTTAACAGCTGACATACATCCTTAATGACCCTCGTGCAGTCGATAGGCTTTAAACCCAATAAAGCAATCAACATAGGAACTGTGCTTCAACCACTCTAGACCAGCAGCTGTAGCTCAACAAGAAAACCTAAAAGAAATATATTTGTTTGCCAAGTCTACTTACAGAGTGTGGCAAAAGATTATTTATTAACGTGCTTCCGCTAGTCAACAATTTCTTGGGTGAAGTATTGAGTTGACTGACTTGTGGTTTAATATATTGGGTGTAATAGTATTTTCACTGACTTGTGGTTTAATATGCAGGGTGTAATAGTATTTTCACTGACTTGTGGTTTAATATATTGGGTGTAATAGTATTTTCACTGACTTGTGGTTTAATATATTGGGTGTAATAGTATTTTCACTGACTTGTGGTTTAATATGTTGGGTGTAATAGTATTTTCACTGATTTGTGGTTTAATATGTTGGGTGTAATAGTATTTTCACTGACTTGTGGTTTAATATGTTGGGTGTAATAGTATTTTCACTGACTTGTGGTTTAATATATTGGGTGTAATAGTATTTTCACCGACTTGTGGTTTAATATATTGGGTGTAATAGTATTTTCACCGACTTCTGGTTTAATATATTGGGTGTAATAGTATTTTCACTGACTTGTGGTTTAATATGCTGGGTGTAGTAGTGAGTTGACGAACTTGTGGTTTAATATACTGGGTGCAGTAGAGAGGTACTAGCTTGTGGTTTAACATTTGTGTTTTACATAATACAGGATATTTCTAACAATTCCTGTACTCAACACACTGAAAATAGCCATTAAAAATAGCAAATAAAGGAAACGTTAAAGAATAGTTTTAACCAGTCATGGCATGATAAAGATTTACGGAGAGTGAAGCGTTTGATAAAGCTCTAAGCAGAGCTCACCTTTGATAAAGCTCTAAATTTACAGAGCTAACCTTTAATAAAGCTCTAAACAGAGCTCACCTTTGATAAAGCTCTAAACAGAGCTAACCTTTGCTAAAGCTCTAAACAGAGCTAACCTTTGCTAAAGCTCTAAACAGAGCTAACCTTTGCTAAAGCTCTAAACAGAGCTCACCTTTGATAAAGCTCTAAATTTACAGAGCTAACCTTTGCTAAAGCTCTAAACAGAGTTAACGTTTGCTAAAGCTCTAAACAGAGCTAACGTTTGCTAAAGCTCTAAACAGAGCTCAACTTTGATAAAGCTCTTAATTTACAGAGCTAACCTTTGATAAGGCTCTAAACAGAGCTAAACTTTGATAAAGCTCTAAACAGAGCTAACCTTTCATAAAGTTCTAAACAGAACCCAACATTGATAAAGCTCTAAACAGAGCTCACCTTTGATAAAGCTCTAAATTTACAGATCTAACCTTTGCTAAAGCTCTAAACAGAGCTAACGTTTGCTAAAGCTCTAAACAGAGCTCAACTTTGATAAAGCTCTAAATTTACAGAGCTAACCTTTGATAAGGCTCTAAACAGAGCTCAACTTTGATAAGGCTCTAAACAGAGCTCAACTTTGATAAGGCTCTAAACAGAGCTCAACTTTGATAAGGCTCTAAACAGAGCTCAACTTTGATAAGGCTCTAAACAGAGCTCAACTTTGATAAAGCTCAAACTGGCAGGGAAATTAAGACTGAGAGTGTGAGCAGACTCACCCATTGAGAGAGTTGTCGATGACGTGGCTGTGGGCGACGAGGCTGTGGGCGTGGGAGTGGTGGGCGTTTCGGTAGGCGTGGCTGCGGCTCTCGTGGGTGTCAAAGAAGCGGCGGTCGTGGTGGCGGTGACGTCTGTGCCGCCCGTGGTAGGCTGTGGATGGCAGGGAAGGAAGCAACGACTGTTAGGTAGCTGGTGTTAGATTTAGATTTGGATTATATAAAGCAGTTAAGGGTCGAACCTCCGTTGTTTAGTTATTAAGACAAACTTAATTAAAGGTCAGTAATGGATGGTGTGTGTACTCACCTAATTGTACTTACCTAATTGTGGTTGCAGGGGTCGAGACTCAGCTCCTGGACCCGCCTCTTCACTGGTCGCTCTGTGTGTGTGTGTGTGTGTGTGTGTGTGTGTGTGTGTGTGTGGTGTGTGTGTGTGTGTGTGCGCGCTCGTGTGCGTGTACACCTCTACAACCAAACCACAACACCCGTAGCACCACTACAACCACACCACTACACACCCACATCACTACAACCGAACATCACTATACCCACACCCACTCCACTACAATCACACACCACTACACCACACCACACACCACTACACCACACCACTACACCACTACACCACACCACTACACTACACCACACCACTACACCACACACTACACCACACCACTACACCACACCACACACCACTACACCACAACACTACACCACTACACCACACCACTACACTACACCACACCACTACACCACACACTAACACCCACACACTACACCACACACTACACCACACACCACTACACCACACACACTACACCACACACACCACTACACTACACCACACACCACTACACCCACACTACACCACACACCACTACACCACACCACTACACACACACCACACCACTACAACCACACCACTACAACACACACCACTACACCACTACCACTACACCACACACTACACCACTACACTACACTACACCACACACTACACTACACCCACACACCATACACCACTACACTACACCACACACCACTACACTACACTACACCACTACGCCCCTACACCACACCACCTGCATATGTACTAGTTAAAAAAAAACTGCAGTGCAGTAGTAAGTGCCAGGATTCTCACCACCGGTTCCCGGTGTAGAGAGACGCACAAACTAATGAAAAAAAATTCGAAACTTTAGGCCAGTGAAAGGCGCGACTCTCACCACTACACCTCACCACTACACCACTACACCACACCACTACACCACTACACCACACCACACCACTACACACACACACACTACACACTACACTACACTACTACACTACACTACACCACACACCACTCACACTACACCACACACTCACTACACCACTACACACCACACCACTACACTCACTACTACACTACACCACACCGCTACACACTCACACCAACACCACTACACCACTACCACTACACCACCACACTACACCACCACTACACTACGCACACCACTACACTACACACACCACACTACACCACACAACCACTACGCCACTACACCACTACGCCACTAACCACCACTACACTAACTACCCACTACAACCACTGCACCACACCACTACACACACACCACCACTGCACTACGCCACTACACCACTACACCACACACACTAACACCCACACATCACAAACTAACCACTACACCACTACACCACACACCACTACAGTACAACCACTACACTACACCACTACCACTACAAACCACTACACTACACCACACACTACACCACTACACTACACATACAACTACACACACACACCACATACACTACACCACTACACCACACACTACGCCACTACACTACACCACTACACTACACTACACCACACACCACTACACTACACACCACTACACTACACCACACACCACTACGCCACTACGCCACACCACACCACTACACTACACCACTACACCACTACGCCCACTACACCACACCACTACACCACTACACTACACCACTACACTACACCACACCGCTACACACTACACCACTACACTACACACCACTACACCACCACTACACTACGCTACACCACTAACACTACACCACCACACTACACCACACACCACTACGCCACTACACCACTACGCCACTACACCACTACACTACTACGCCACACACCACTGCACACCACACCACTACAACACACCACTGCACTACGCCACTACACCACTACACCACACCACTACATCACTAAACTACACTACACCACTACACCACACACCACTACAGTACACCACTACACCTACACCACTACACTACACCACTACACCACACACTACACCACTACACTACACAAATACACCACACACCACTACACTACACCACTACACCACTACACCACACACTACGCCACTACCACTACACCACTACACTACACTACACCACACCACACACTACACCACTACACTACACCACACAACCACTACGCCACTACGCCCACCCCCACTACGCCCACTATACTACCAAACTACACACTACACACACCACTACACTCACACTACACCACTACACTACACTACACTACACCACTACACCACTCACTACACCACACACCACTACACCACTACCCACTACACCACTAACGCCACTACCACGCCACTACACCACACACCACTAACCCCTACACTACAACCACACCACTACGCCACTACACTACACCACTACACTACACCACACCACTACACTACACCACCACACACCACTACGCCACTACACTACACCACTACACTACGCCACTACCTACTACCAAACTACACCACTACACACCACTACACCACTACCGCACTACACCACTACGCCACTACACCACACCACTACACTACTACACACTACGCCACTACGCCACTACACCACTAGCACCACTACACCACTACACCACTACGCCACTACACCACTGCACCACTACACCACTACACCACTACACCACTACACCACTACACCACTGCACCACTACACCACTACACCACTACGCCACTACACCACTACGCCACTACACCACTACCCACTACGCCACTACGCCACTACCACACTGCCACTACACCACTACACCACTACACCACTACACCACTGCACCACTACACCACTACACCACTACGCCACTACGCCACTACACCCTCACTGCATTTAATCCCTCCAAACTATTTGTAAAAATGATGAGAAAAATAAAAAGGCAGAAATAAAGGCAAAATGTCTTTATTTATTACTCGAGAAATTAACTAAATCGTTCGCTTCACCAATTTTATTTACCGTTACGGTCTAGAATATTTAAATGAAACTTATGTTTCAGACTTTTTTTTATAAAACTTTAGTGTGTTTCAGGCTTATCACTGAAACTGTTGTGGTTCAGACTCATCACTGAAACTGTTGTGGTTCAGACTCATCACTGAAACTGTTGAGGTTCAGACTCATCACTGAAACAGTTATGGTTCAGACTCATCACTGAAACTGTTGTGGTTCAGACTCATCACTGAAACTGTTGTGGTTCAGACTCATCACTGAAACTGTTGAGGTTCAGACTCATCACTGAAACTGTTGTGGTTCAGACTCATCACTGAAACTGTTGTGGTTCAGACTCATCACTGAAACTGTTGAGGTTCAGACTCATCACTGAAACAGTTATGGTTCAGACTCATCACTGAAACTGTTGTGGTTCAGACTCATCACTGAAACTGTTGTGGTTCAGACTCATCACTGAAACTGTTGTGGTTCAGACTCATCACTGAAACTGTTGTGGTTCAGACTCATCACTGAAACTGTTGTGGTTCAGACTCATCACTGAAACTGTTGTGGTTCAGACTCATCACTGAAACTGTTGTGGTTCAGACTCATCACTGAAACTGTTGTGGTTCAGACTCATCACTGAAACTGTTGTGGTTCAGACTCATCACTGAAACTGTTGTGGTTCAGACTCATCACTGAAACTGTTGTGGTTCAGACTTATCACTGAAACTGTTGAGGTTCAGACTCACTGAAACTGTTGTGGCTCAGACTCATCACTGAAACTGTTGTGTTTCGGACTCATCACTGAAACTGTTGTAGTTCAGACTCATCACTGAAATTGTTGTGGTTCAGACGCATCACTGAAACTGTTGTGGTTCAGACGCATCACTGAAACTGTTGTGGTTCAGACTCATCACTGAAACTGTTGTGGTTCAGACTCATCACTGAAACTGTTGTGGTTCAGACTCATTACTGAAACTGTTGTGGTTGACTCATCACTGAAACTGTTTAGGTTCAGACTCATCACTTAAACTGTTGAGGTTCAGACTCATCACTGAAACTGTGGAAGGACATTATTAATGCCCTTTAAATTCAATTCTGCCATTTAATTAATCACAAGCCAACCCGAGACATTAAAACGAATCATTGAGAATCTGGGAAAAACTTCAGTTGAAAGTGTGTACGGCCGTTAACGCTCAACCGTTAATGGTTGACGACCGTTAACAGACATTGAGATCTAACAGCAAAAGATTTGAAAATAAAAAAAGTTTAAGAAATCCTGTCAGATGTTTGTGTGTTGAATGCTTATGTATTATTATTATTATTATTATTATTATTATTATTATTATTATTATTATTTAAAAAAAAATGAAGCGCTAAGCCTGCGTGAGAATAGTTGCGTTCATGAGATTAGATTCTGCCGGCGAAACGGCTAGTTTGTGTACCCCATATCCATCCTGTGGACAGTGGCTAGTTTGTGCACCCTATATCCATCTTGTGGACAGTAGCTAGTTTAGTGCGCACACCATATCCATCCTGTGGAGGGTAGTGCAAGAGCATATGGATACCCAAAGTGCTAGGAACTAGGCCCCGAAAGGATTAACAGAAGTACATCTGGATTTATAACTATAGATCACTTATCTGTTATCTTATATTCTTTAATAATAAATCTTGATATTTCACCTAAGTTATTATGCTGTCTCTATATTCTTCAATAAGTGGACAATTAACCACTTAAGTGTTTAGGATAGTGATGACATGCCTGGCCATATTTTTTGCATTTGGCTTTATCTGTGGTACATGAGAGAGGCGTGGAGGACAAAGGAGTACATGACATGGGAGTTGAGATAAAGGAGTACATGTCAGTTGGGTGGAGGACAAAGGAGTACATGAAAGGGGAGTGGATGATGCACATGGCAGGGGCGTGGAAGGAATGTATTTAGTAGGGGCGTGGATGACAGGCATGTCAGAAGCATGGATAATATGCAGGGTTAGGGCGTGGATGGCATACACAGTAGATGACATACATGGTAGGTGTTACTGCTTTGATATCGTAACTTAAATAAAATGTTCCTGGCTCCTAAAGGCTGCTCACACTGCTGTCTAGGGGTTATACAAAACCGTACTGCGTAACAGTAGGTATGTGGATGACATACATGGCAGCAACGTGGATGACATTGCAGGTACGTGATGACATTGTAGGTACGTGGATGACATACATGGCAGCTACGTGGATGACATTGCAGGTACGTGGACGACATATATGGCAGGTACGTGGACGACATACATGGGAGGTACGTGGATGACATACATGGCAAGTACGTGGATGACATACATGGCAGGTACGTGGGTGACATATATGACAGATATATAGATGACATACATGGCAGGTACGTGGGTGACATACATGACAGGTATATAGATGACATACATGACAGGTATAGATGACATACATGGCAGGTACGTGGATATCTCACCGTGAACGTGATGAACGAGGGAAGGCAGCAGACACAGCAGCAGCAATAACAGCGTCGTTGACCAACACATCATCCTGCCAACTGGGGGAGAGAGAAACTATTAACATTCATCATTACCTCAGCCTCTTCAAAAATAAAAAAAAGCGAAAATAATTTTTGTCTAACTGAAAAGTACCCATAATGCAGCATCCTGACTCGGTAAGTGAAATAATGAATAATAATTAATAATCTATGTTTCCATAAAGTATACAAGTGATATAAGATTAGTTAACATGATAGGAATATTTTACAGAAAACCTCGAGTTATGCAAAACGTCTCGACCAGCCTTAAAATTAACATATAACCATTGCCCAAGGGGGAAGCACTAAACCCGCAGGATTAATTCAGGCTTAATTCAGGGAGCTGGAGTACAGATCCAATTCCCTAGATCAAGAGCCCCTCACCAGCGTCAAGTAACCTTCCTTGAGGAGGGGGAAGAAGATAAATATATGAACTATACTGTAGAGTAAAAAAACGTAGTAGTACGTAAACTCTGAATTAGTGGATAAAATATTCACGAGTAGGCTACTGAGACTACACCATGTTCATAGTTTACACACATAGGCAATAGTTAAGTAACTTTATTGCGAAACGTTTCCCCTACACAGTAGGCTTCTTCAGTCGTGTACAGAAAGTAGGCAGGAGCAGCAGAGATGTAAAGATGTAATCAGTCGTAAATTTGAGGTTGACAATCCCTCAACCTGGAGAAGACTTCAAGGGTGATGGACTGATTACATCGTCTTCACGTCTCTACTGCTCCTGCCTACTTTATGTACTCGACTGAAGAAGCCTACTGTGTAGGTGAAATGTTTCGCCACACAGTAGGCGAAACTATTTTGATACTCGCACCATGTTCATGTTTTTAGAAGAGCGACTTCAAGTGGATGATCATTGCTCATTAGTAATTACTGTAAAAGTACGAGGAAAGTGGAATACAAAAGAGGATGGTCTCGTGAATGATACTGATAAAATGAAAAAAAAACGGATGGTTAGTGAGAAGGATGAATAATTATTGGAGAAAACGTTGCACAGAGTGAGAGTGGTGAAAATAAAGTCGAAGAGGAACTGTGAGAAATTAAATAAATCGGTGCTAGAGTGTGAAGCAGAGTTTGTGCTCAAAGTAGAGAGGCGCACTTGTAATGATGATGCATTCACAGAGTCCATGTCGTGTAAGACTTTCAGTATAATGGTGGATTTAGCTACAGCAAGGGATGCCCACATAAAAGCACTTCGTACACACTGTGGCTGGTTCAATATGACTGTGGACTTTGAAGTTGCAAGGACGTTATTTCGATTCCCTGCACTCCTTGTAATTTTTTGCATTCACGATTTAGAGATCTTACACAAGTGTTTGTAATATATATAATATATATATATATATATATATATAATTATAATATTAATATTATATATATATATATATACATATATATATATATATATATACATATATAATATATATATATATATATATATATATATATATAATATATATATATATATATATATATATAAAATCACTGCAGACTATAAATGAGATTTTTTCAAATCTCATTTCATTCACAATTATAAATGCTGTTCCTCCTTGCACTTGTCATTCTCTTTCTCCTAGAGTCATATCCGCTGAAGAAGATTACGTACATAATCATGATGGTTAGCATAATTTCCAAAATTGTGATTATGTCTGGTATATCTTCCTTTTCATTTAACTTATGGGATTTATTCGTTACTTTCACTGGCGTTCCTTTATCAAATCACGATGCCAAGCAGTGAAATGTATATGTATGATCCCTACAGGCTTCGTGCTCCTTCAATGAATTTCAGAGAGTAATGGGGAAGTACAGTTTTGTGTTAAAATGCTGGGCAAGATGAAAAGTTGTGCAATGTCAATCTTATTCTCTGGAAGGGAAGCTTGCAGCTGTCTCCACGTAACTTAAGGCTGTGTGTGTTACTTGCCGGATGTCAAAGGTACTTGATAGACACTGGGTCTTTGTGAGGAAGGGGGCTTTCTTTTTTTTTTTGCATGCGGCGCGCGGTGTGTGTGTTGTGTGTGTGTGTTGTGTGTGTGTGTGTGTGTGTGTGTGTGTGTGTGTGTGTGTGTGTGTGTGTGTGTGTGTGTGTGTGATTGCACAGGGGTCGAGGCTTAGCTTCTGGCCCCGCCTTCTAAACCACTTTTCATCTGCGTCACTGCTAATTTCTGGCTACTTGTATTGGTTTGCGTCCACCGCTTCCCCATCAAAATCATTCAACTTCTCACCCATTCTGAGACTAAAACACTCCTATAAATTCCTGTGCTTATTTCTGTCTTCAGTTTCCACCTGTACTTTTGATCCTGGTCCTCTGTATTCAAGTCTGTCTGCTTTTACGACGTCAATTCCTCTAAGATTTTTACATATTGCAATCATGTTTTCTCTCGTCCTTATCCTTGTTCAAGACTGTCAAGCTTAACTCCGTTTTAAGTTTTTCTCTTAGAGCATTCCTTTTTTCCGGTACTTGTTCGGTTGCAAATCTTTGGACTTTTTTCGAGCTTCTGCTCGTGCCTGACCAGGTGTGGGCTCCATCCTGGTGCTGCATACTCAGTGAATAGCCTAAAGTATTTAGTATAAAAAGTTCTAAAGGATTCTTTGTCGAATACTGTTTTGAGGTTTGCAAATCTTGCAAATGCCTCTGATATGTGACTTACGCAATTTTGCCGATATGCCGTTATATTTACTACCAGGACTGTTGTCGCTCACCATTCACTGTAGCTTCTCTCCGTCTTGCTGTGTCAGGTGCGCCCTGACCTCCAAATCGCACGACCTTACATCTGTTTGAACTGAACTCCAATAACCACTTGCTTGACCACATCCGCAGACTGCTGAGACCTCCCTGGTCCTTATCAGTGTCATTTCCTCTTCTTATTCTTCTCTTCCCTGGTCCTTATCAGTGTCATTTCCTCTTCTTATTCTTCTCTTCAGTTTTGTATTGTTTGCAAACAGTGACACAAAGACTCCGTCGCTTCTGGTAAGTCGTTGACATATAACTGGAAGAGTAACCACTCATTTCTATCTTCTATTCTGCTGTCTCGTCCCATTTGCTGTCTTGCATCTTTCAAGTAATTTTTCCCCAGCTAGAACACTACCGTTTATCTCTGTTTGTTCCTCTAATTTCTGGACTAACCTATAATCCTCCCAACTCTCTTTTATCCTGTGACTGTTACAGAACTTCATTAACTTCCTAAGGCAGAATATTCCTTCTTAAATCTTTGCTGATTTTCTCTAAAGCATCTTCTCTCCAAAAGCTCAAATATCCTTCTCTTTACAAATATTCTCTATATTTGAGAGTATGCATATTAGAGATTCTGGTCTGTAATCTATTTTCACCTGTCTGTCCCAAAATTTTTATAAGGAGATCCTGATGGACTTTTTACAATTTTCTGACAGTTAACCGGAGTGGAGAGATTGGATGACGATGTTGGATCACACAGTGTTTCTGATCCTTCTCTCCGTACCCACATGTGTGGTTTGCAGTGGCATGTGTGGTTTGCAGTGGCGAAGTGTTTTGCAGTGGTGCGTGTCGATTGTAGTGGTATGTGTGATCTGAAGTGATGTGTGTAGATTGCAGTGGTATAAGTGAGAACTTGTGTTCAGATGTAAGTAAAAGGAATGTATTGATGCAAGTCTTACATAGCATAAACCAATAAGCTTACTACAGCGATCCACTACCCTGGTAACGGTGGGTGTAAATGTGAAGGTAATCAAACGGTTTAGGCTCAAGAGGGTATACCACAATCCTAATTTCATATCCCAATCTCACTTGCTAAATCTTGCTGATCAAAGGTAATAACCTAGAGGGTAGGCTTGCGTCCTCCCCCAAACACAATTACTTAGCACTACATTTGTATATGATCTATCTCGTGTCTGGCAACACGTCTTTAGGTAGCTGACCCGTCATAGTGAAGCTATAGGCTGTTACAGCCTCTGTAGGCTTGCCTAGTATGAGACTATATGTCTCCTACTATGCTTCATTCGTGCGACTATTATTGCTTGTCTCTAAATAACAAAGGCACAACACCGTGATTGGAACAATACGACGTTTCGGTCTGACTTGAACCATTTACAAAGTCACACTAACTTTGTAAATGGTCTAGGTCGGACCGAAACGTCGTGGTAAGCTCCTCTCTCCTATGTCCGGGTTATTTGTGTAGTGCTTGTCTCTGTTTTAGCTTCTTTGATTTTCCCCCCTTTTATTAGTACTTCGTTCATTTCGTAAAATAATAATTTTCTTCAATTAAATCGCTTCACATATTCAAAAACTCCCCCAAAAAGACGAAACTGCGATAACCTTGAAGTCTGTTTTTCTGCCTGTTAAACACGTCGATAGGTATCAAGTTGTCACCTTTAGTTCACCTCCAAGGTTGAGTCAGTCCAGATTATTATTAATCACATATACAGATATAACACCACTATCACATTTAAGATACTTTCTATTTATCGCTTTTATTTCAAGAACAATATGGTCTACTAGTTGCTATAAACAATTGAATAGGTCGACAATCTGCGGAAAATAGCAAAAAATAATCACTGGTGATTTATGGTGCATCCTAGTAGGTGTGTGTTTTATTACAAATAAAAAACTGGATACATCTGCAGTGTTGTTTCCTTATTCTATATGACACTTACAAAGTGAGAACAAAAAAATAGCTATTTCTCTGTCATATTCTATCACGCAGGATGGGGTTCACACATGATTTTGAAATCTGTCAGCCTGAGCTGAGAGACTTCAGTGGGGCAATAAGGATATCATCAAGCATTTAAGCAAGGCTTCATCAGCTATGGCAGCTTTAGAGGTTTCCTTCTAGCACAGCTGGAGTTACTATCACTGAGGAATTGTCATCTCTCAGGATAGCCTATCCCATCAGTGTTTGTGTGGGTTTAAAGGGATGGAGAGGGGTTTATTGAAGGGGGAAGAACAACTGTGTGTTGCCCCGTAGTTACATCAACAGCCAAGGCATCGTTTATCAAATTTTCTCAGAAGCTTCCCCTCAGTCTCATATATCACGGCATATTGGCTTTTCCCTCACCTGCACCTTCCTCAC